TGAGGGTAGTCTTGTAAGTGGAGATGGTGGTGGGTACAGTGGAGGTGGTAGTGAGGGTAGTCGTGTCCCTGGAGGTGGTGGGTACAGTGGAGGTTGTGGTGAAAATAGTCATGTCAGAGGATGTGATGGGTACAGGGGAACTGGTGGTGAGGGAAGTCATGTCAGGGGATGTCATGGCAGGTAAAGTGGAGTTAGTGAATGGAATGGAGATGGTGGTTATGGTAGAAGTGTCAGTAGACGTGGTGGTGGGTATAATGGAGTTGGTTGTGAGGGTAGTGGTGTGAGTGGACATGGTGGGCATAGTGAATGTGGTGGTGAAGGTCCTGGTGTCAGTTGACAAGGTGGGGGAAGTGGAACTGGTGGTGAGGGTATTGGTGTCAGTAGAGGTGATGGTGGGTACAGAGGAGGTGGTGGTGAGGGTCATCGTGTCAGTGGAGGTGATGGTGAGTGTAGCTGTGTCAGTAGAGGTGTCGGTGGCTACAGGCAAAATGGTGGTGAGGGTTGTCATGTCAGTGGAGGTGGTGGTGAGTGTTGTTGTTTCAGCAGGGGTGGTGGTGGGTTCAGTGGAGTTGGTGGTGCGGGGAGTCGTGTCACTAGAGGTTGTGGTGGGTACAGTGGAGGTGGTGGTGAGCGGAGTCGTGTCTGTGGAGGTGGTAGTGGGTACAGTGGAGGTAGTGGAGAGGGTAGTCATGTCAGCGGAGGTGGTTGGTACTGTGGAGGTGGTGGTGAGGGTTGTCATGTCAGTGGAGGTGGTTGGTACTGTGGAGGTGGTGAGGTTAGTCACATTAGTGGATGTGGGTGTGTGTACAGCGGAAGTGGTGTTGAGCATGGTGTTGTCACCATAGGTGGTGGTTGGTAGAGTGAACGTGGTTGTGAGTGTGGTTGGATCAGTTGTGGCTGTGTTGGGTACAGTCGTCGAGAAGTTGTGGTAGATGTGGTGTGTGTTGTTGCAGGGGTTGTTGTAGCTGCAGTGGAGGTCGTAGTGTTTGTCGTTGTCATTGTCGCTGTAGAGGTCGTGGGTCTGGTCACCTCAGTCGTGGTGCTGTTTAGAGGCGGTTTAGTGGTGATGTTAATGATGTCGCATTCACACCGCAATCCCCAGTAGTCAGGTGGACATTTGCATGCTGTTCCAACTGGCGTGCCACCATTCACGCACACAGCGGTGCTGTCCTCATTCTCGCACAAGGAACCCCAGTATCTTAGTGTGCAGATGCACTCCATTCCCAGTGCCGTGGCACCGTTCTGGCAGGCTGTGGCTGTGTTCTCGCTCTCGCACCGGGCACCAGAATAACCAGGTGGGCAGATGCAGTGAATGCCGACAGGAGTGCCCTCGTTCTGGCAGGCCATGGAGCTGTTAAAGTTCTCACACCAAGGACCAGAATAACCAGGTGGGCAGGCGCACTCAGTTCCCACAGCTGTGCCCCCATTCTGGCATAAGACTGAAAGACACAATATTCCCCATCCGGTATTTAGCATGAAAGAGGACACAATCCAAATTCAGGTGAAAGACCCACGTTTCCCGGCCAGGACTGGGGAGAGAATCCAGTGGTTCCGAACTCGCAGCCACCCTCCACACTCCACTCTAATCTAGACTGCATGGTCCTGCAAAAGATGGTAATAGAACCCAGGAGCCCTGGCTCCCAGCCCCCCCGGCCCCCTTTCCCTCCTAGAGGCACAGAGAGAACCCAGGAGTTCTGGCTCCCAGCACCCCCTGCTCTAACCGACTAGGCTCCAGTCCTCTCCCAGAAGCAGGGAGAAAACCCAGGAATCCAATGGAACTGGGAGAGGAAAGTCCATCAATAGATTCATAAAGTCCAAAGCCAGGAAGGACCATTGTAATCATCTAGATTCCATGCCCAAGCACATGACCAAATCGTCTGCCAATGAGAACTCTTGACACGCATGGCTGGACCAATGACACCCAACAGAATTTTTGCATGCAAATTAACTGTAGAAGAAGAGTGATGATTGGCTGAGTCAGGGGTCGGCAATGGGGTGCCTGCAGGTGCCATGGCGCCCACGTACTGGCTGGCGGACGAGCATCCGCCGAAATGCCGCCGACAAGCAGCAGCATCCAGAGGCGTTGCCGCTGAAATGCCGCTGATTTTAGGTGGCGACACCTCTGGATGACGCTGCTTGTCGGCGGCATTTCAGCGGATGCTCGTCCGCCGCCACGGTCCTCCGTGGCTCGTCGTCTGGAACCCGCCAGACGAAAAAGGTTGGGGACCACTGGGCTGAGTTATTGCTCATGTCACCATGTCCCCACCTAGAGTTACATAAACTGTATCCCTTACCCTACCTTTAGCCTATATTAGATCAGATGAGGTGAAAATTACTAATTGCTTAATTGCAACATCGGCTCTTCAAGTCGGGCCGGCACGCAATGCTTGGATGACTTGTCCCATCGGCAGAGTTTGCAATCTTTGCGTTTTCCCATGGCTAAGATTGATCAGGACAAAGACAGAGAGTGACACAAAATGCTAAATAACAGAATTACTGGTACCATCTCAGGAAATGCATCCTGTGCCCAAGCCAGAGGTAGGGGGCAGGGCTGGATTAACTTTTTGTGGGCCCGGCGCCAAACATATTGGTGGGCCCCCATGTGGTTGTGATGAACCCCTTCCAGATATGGTCCTAGCATGACAGCACCATTGATGCCATAGTAAATGTGGTATTGCCAGGATGGGAATGAAAACATTTATTCAAAAACAAAATAAGATATTTGAAGCCAAACTGAGACCTCCATTCAGCCCATAGAGAACAAACTGGGCTAACACCAATGTATGCAGAACACCACTGAATTTGGTTTGTGTGGGAGGGGGGTTGTTTGTTAGTTTTGTCTTTTTTCTTTAAACACTCAGGGCCTGCTTAGGGCCCTGAACACAAGTGCTTAATTAGCACACTTATGAGCCATATTAAGCCCGGCTGCAGCAGTCAGTGGTGTTGCACCTGCATCTCCCCCCCACCACCACCCAAAGTTATGTTTCCTAAATACATTTTTTGAAAGCTGCATTTTCTACTTTGGTACAATAATATTTACAAAACTTTGGGGCGGGGTGTGGGGAGGAAAATTGCTGGTGCCCATCTTTTGCAGGGAGAAAGGACCACTGAAACACACACACTTTACCACAAAGGCTACCACAATCCAGCCTCAAGTTCCTACCCCAATCTTCACACCTGGGCTCTCCTCCCATCCCTCCTACTGTCCCCATCCCACACAACTAACCCCCTAACAAAGGCTCTCCTCAATCTCCCTGCTACTGCCCACTCCCTACACACTTTCACCCCAGGGCTGTCATCTCCCTCTCTTCTACTACCCCCCTTCTACACACATACACTGAGCCAACCCCCACCTTTAACCCAGACTCTCCCCTCCCTCCCTCTGCCCCCTGCCACACCAACCCCCACCTTAACACCCTGCTTCTCCTACACCCCCCACACGGAGTCACCGCCAGCTCCCCCATTGCACCTGGACTTGCCCCACAACTGCCCCGTTCCCCCAAAACTGGGCTGTGCCCCTTCCCCTCCCCAGAGTGCAGGGAGGTAGTTTCTGGGCATTCCCACTGGCAGGGGGCGTGGCAGCCAGCACTGACAAGTCCCGCTGTCACTGCCCCCCCTGCTCCCAGGCACCACAGACAATGCGTGTGTGAGGGGGTGCTGAGGAGGTGTGAGGGGAGTGCAGGGTCAGGGAAGGGCCAGGGGCTCAGGGGGCTGGGGGGGTGCAGGGGTTAGGGTGGGCAGGGGGCTGGGGGGTGGGCTGGGGTCGGGGGGGTGCTAGGGGGAAGCCCTGCTGGACTTCTGATGTAAACAATAAGGCTGAATCGAAACAAAACTCAGCCTTAGGTACATAGTCTAGCTGCCTTGGTATCATCTTTATAAATCTTATCAGAAACTTTATGAGCCAGACTTTGGGTGCATGAAAATGCCATGGGCGTGTAGAGCATTCATGGACTTTGGTGGCATTAAGTGTTGTAGGTGTTTGTGTTGTCATGACTCCCCAGGGTCGTGTGTGTGTGTGTGTGT